CCTTTTTTTTTTTTTTTTTTTTTAACATAAAAATGCATTTTGCAATAGTGGTTTTAAGGAGAAAGTGTGGCTAAAAATAAAGAAAAGTTTTGAATTTGCGTGTAATATTATTTTATTGAAGAATGTGAATGAAAAGAAGAGAGAAAAAATGTATTTTGAAAAAAAATGGGAATCGAATAAGGCCTTAAGTTTAAATATAACAATTATTTTGTTCAAATTAAATATATATAATTTTGTTATAAGAATAAGTAGGATTCATCAAATGACATTGTTGCTAAATTTTGTATAATTCAAAGGAAGAGCGCGAATTCTAAAATTTACAATTGTACTTGCCTCAGTTAAAGCGTAATAAATATTGTTTGGTAAATTCAGTAACATCGATCAAGAAGTACCATAATGGTTAGGTTTGCATCTTTCCTTGCAAAAACTTCACAGGTTTGATTCCCTTGTTCCCATCCTTACAAAAATTTTGGTAAAAATTTAATCATAAGAATAATGCACAAAAATCTCTTGGTAAGGGATTCGAACCCTAAACGTCAAATATAAATATGTGACCGTTGACCATTTGCGCTACAAGGAAGGTTTAGAAAAACATGACTTACCAATAATATAAGGTAAAGTTTTAAAAAAGGAAAAAAAATTACCCGCGAGTGCTGGATTCGTGCCTGTTGATATGAAGGGGTGGTATCTAGTAAAAAAAGATACTAAGTAGCTTGCAGCAATATAAGAAGAAATGGACTCATTACATGAAAACTATACTTGGACCTTAGAGGATAAACTTGTTGAATGCAAATGGGTTTATGAAATTAAAGATGGTGAGGAAATCTAATCATATAATATATAAGGCAAGAATTGTAGCAAAAGGCTTTATATAAAGATAATGAATAGATTACACTGAAATTTTTCACTTGTTATGAAATATATCTTTATAAGAATTTTGCTTGCTCTTAGACACAATTGATTTAGAATTAGAATAACTTGATGTAAAAACTGTTTTCTTTTATAGTTCTCTAGATGAAACTATATATATGACTCAACCAAAAGGTTTTTAAAAATAAAAGAAAGAAAAACTTGGTTTGTGTCTTGATCTTTATATGGTCTAAAATAAGCTCCAAGACAATGGTATAAAAGATTTGATTATTTACATAATGTTTTAATTTTAATAAATTTGAATATGAAACATGTTTCTATTATAAAAAAGATGGAAAATCTAAGTTTTTCTATTTACCCCTA